CTGCTGGACTTATTGCCTGGTCCGTAATTTGCTAGGCATTTTAAGACTGAACATATGCTCCTGCATAGCTTCGTCTAGTCTGTTCTTGAAGGCGTTCATACTCGGAGCGTCAACGATGCTATCAGGGAGGCTGTTCCAAATGTCGGTGACTCGAAGCGAGAAGAAATGTTGTCGCATGGATGTGTTACAACGCAGTTTTTTTTAGAGTTCTCTACAAGACCAAATAACACTGCTGGCGAGATGATCCATGAGCGGATGGTGAACCGGCAGTCGAGATACAAATGTGATTCAAATCAATCACCTGACAAAGGAAAGAACAATGTTGCCACTTGATTTAAGGTCAGGAACATTTGGGGCGTCCGAAGGTTCAAGCTTTCCAGGGTTTGGTATGAAGTAATGATTCATTCATATTGAGTCAGCGAGAACATATATCTCGTATCCCTCACTCTGTGGCTTACATGGTACGGTATGCAAACTATGCATCGCTTCAGGTGACTGCCTCCTTTGCAGGGAACAAGTTGTTCAGCAATGCAAAGTTTTTGCTGCATTGTAACTTTCTTGAACTCGTGGCGAAGATGTTCAATCATTGCTGTTACTTTGAACATTTTATAATATATATTATATATATGGTTATATGCTCATCTCCGCTGGGGCCACAACTATGTAAGTCAGGAAGTTTACGGCACCAGTGCATTCGTGCGTGAGATAATTTCATTATAGAAAAAAACATAACCTATTCAATCCACTGCACTGTTCGAGTTCATTTTTTGTAAGTCTTGAAGGTTTATTCAAAATTTTCTGCACAGAATAGAGATTTGATAGTTTCAAACGACGAGTTCTAGAAACTCATCAGAAATAAAGGACTTGAAATAGTTGTATAATGTTGTAGATGTAGACCGTAGATGTTGTAGTTCATGACCGACGTGCAGTTCATGAACTGAAATTCTGAAACCTGTCAATCCACCGTCTTTACTGTACACTGCGGGACTGAAATGCGCACCTTCGTCCGTGTAGCTCAAGACGAATCTGGTTGGACATCAACCGGAAGTTTCAAAACTACAGGTTTATCGTTCTGAAATTCATCACTCAGCTCGTCTATGCAGTCCATAGCATCCAAATTCCATTCATTTTGTTCGGGGAGAAGAGTTAAATCCCTTAATACATCATATTATAGGATAGGATTGCTCTGACCACCACGGTCTATGGCTGATTTTTGCATTTTCGTTGCAGTTCAAAAGCTTTCATTCATTTCCGCCAGTCGAATAAACAGGATTGAAAAATATTTGGAAATAAAGAGTGAGTAAATGTGTTCATATTATCTATTCTTACTGAAAATTATATCAATTACAGAACAAAAAACATTTTCAATGCTAGGCTAAAGTACCTATGTTTAGTTTAAGAACATTAGCATATTATTCCCTGGCGGATGGAAGCGCGGTAGTTGCAGAATGATTCATTTGAATACGCATATCTAGCACGTCCTTATTGTGGCAGGAATACGGAATACTTGCATTCTTTACAGCTGATGGGTAACTTTGATACTTCACTTGCAGAATGAGATGCTTCACTCGCAGGATGATTCATTTGAATATGCATATCTAGGACGTCCTTATTGTGGCAGGTATACTTGCATTCTTTACAGCGGATGGATAACTTTGATGCTTCACTTGCGGAATGATTCATTTGCATATGCAGATCCAGGACGCGCTCATTGTGACAGGAATACTTGCATACTTTACAGCGGATGGGTAACTTTAATATATGGTTATCACTGATATGCCGAGACATGTCACGTCTATCTATGCATGTATAGTCACACTCAGGACATCTGATGGATTCCTTTAACACATGCACTTTACGTATATGCAGAGACATGTCACGTTTATTGAAGCTTGTATAGTCACACTCAGGACAGCTGATGGGTTCATTAAACACATGCACTTTACGTATATGCCGATCGAGGTTTTCTTTACACTTATATTCACAGTCACAATACGAACAACTAAAAGAATGTTTTGAAGTCACGTGCTTCCTCATTCCCATTTTTGTAGCAGTAGAATACGTACATTCTGGGCATTGGAAAAGTTTCTTTTCGGGGTGCATTCGAAGAAAATGTGACTTTAGACTATATTCACTGGAGTAAAACGACCTGCACTTGGTGCACTTGAAAGGAGATTTCTTCGACGCATGCTTAAAATCAATATGATTCATTAAATTGTGTTCGATAAAGCTAGTATAGTCACACTGTCCACAACGAAGAGGTTGTTCAAATGAATGCTTTGAGAGAACATGATATCTAAGCTTTCCTTTCGAAAGAAAAACACTTTTACAATCTTTGCATTGGAATGATTTTCGTGGTGAGTGTTCTGTCTGAATATGTTCCAGAAGAGATTGTTCAGAACTGCAGGGGTCCTTATATTCAGATGATGATTCTGGAAGTTGGCAACGGCCGCGGCCAGTGTCTCTTCGAGGTCCACGAGATGAAGATGACTTCCCGCCGACGCACTGAAAAAGTCGAAGTTAAATCAATTTGCAAGAAAAAAAACGATTACAACAGTAGTGTAATGGCCCGATTCAGATACTGATCACTTAACCCTTACTAAATAAATACATTAACTGTTCCCGATCCTATTCCTCTAAAAGATAGGGAATCAAATTTACAATCGATAACAAACAGATCAATTTACCTCAAGTTGCATTACACATGAGGATATAAGATTTATACAATTAATCTGTAAACTAATCACCTGATTATTTCAAAATCTTATTTTTAACTGTTTTCTATCCAACTATATACTAGGATTAGGTTTTGGAAAAGATTTCCTTCCAGCATTTTAATATCATATTATGAAGGAAGGTTCTAAATTACATTCTCCTTAAATCCAACAGGAAACTTGGACGACCTGCTGGACAAGTTAGTATATGGTTATAAATTTGAGATCATGTATTTACTTCAACCCACATGGTAGCAGAATCCGTGAGTTTGTTTAAAACTTATTCTAGGATGAGCTTTCTTTGAACATTGAAATGCGCCAAAATTTCAATTCTTAAAGCTAGTTCTGAAAAATATCTGTGACCTTGCTGGCATAAGGAAAAAAAGATACTGGTAGTTTAGAAATTTTACGTTTTTTATTGAGAAGGGAAATTAGAACTTGACTCCTCTTTTATGTTTGAGTAATAGGACAAACAAGGAAAAAGATTTAAAAAAACAAATATGAGGCTTATTCATATTTAGCGCGGGTATTCATTGCTTAACCCTTAGACTGAAAGGCGAAGTTGCCACCTACCTAGTCACCTAGTTGACTTATCCTATGATAGTCACAAAACTGTTCCTCTCTGCATTTAGACATAGATGCACTTTGCACACTTCACACACAAAGTTAAATCTGATGATATATCCTTGTCGTTTGCAGTGCATGCATGTCTGACGAAACGAGGAAAGTGCTCCAGGTTGCTGTCAAATCTGTCTCATCTGTTAGGAACTAGGCTACGATGTCCTCGAACAGGCTTTGGAAGAGTAGGATGCGTTGGGTCTTGGCAATGTACACCAGGAGTGAGGCTTCTAAGGCATAGAGCGTAGAACACCTCAATCCTGAAGTCTTTCAGAGGCAGACAGATACTTGGTTTCCCCTAGAGTCCTGCAATCACGTTTGTAAG